CCTAACTTAAATGGTACCTGAGCCTCTCTCCAGGATTTGGGATAGGAAGAGGCTGAGAAAGTGGGGAAGGATATTTGTTTTCACACAGTACTTGGTAAATCATGAAGAAAGTTGAAAGCATAATATTACAATTTTTAAATTTATTTTGTTGAATAGGCAATATATTCATGTGGTTAGAGAAAAAGGTTTAGAGTGAAAAATCTCCCTTCTAGTTTTACTTCTGTGAAATTACCACCCCCTACCCTTAACAGGGAAGCACTTTCATTTTTTGTTTTATAAATTTTAGTTTAAAACTCCTTTCACCTCCCAGTTTTTTATACTAGAAGCAGTGTAATGTAAACACTGGTCTGCCCCTAAACAATATATCTCTTGGAGCTCTTTCTATGTCAGCACATAAAGAGCTTCCTGATTCTTACTTTTTTTTAAAACAGCTACACAGTACTCTGTTGGATGGATGTACTGTAACATCATAATTTATTCGACCAGTCCCTATTGATGAACGTTTGTTTGTTTCCCATCTTCCTCTGCTATAATAAATTACGCTGCAGTGAATAACCTTATAAATATGTCACTTCACATGTTTGGAAGTCTGTCCGTGGGATAAGTTCTCAGAAGTGTGATTACTGGGGTTAAAGGGTATAAGCATTGCAATTTTGATAGATTTTACCAAATTGCCCTCTGTGGGGGTTCTCCCACCAGTAACGTATGAGGAAACTTGTTTCTCTACAGCCTCTCCAACAGAGTGAGTTCTTAAACTCTTGGCTCTTGGCCAACTTTGCTAGATAAATGATACTATCTCAGTGTAGTTTTCATTTGCACTTTTATTATGAATAAGGTTGAGCATCTTTTCATAGAGTTAAGGGTCAGTTATAAATTTGTTTTCTTTTAACATTTAAGTTCAGGGATACATGTGCAGGTTTGTTACATGGGTAAACCTGTGTCATGGGGGTTTGTGGTACTGTAAATTTGTTTCCTATGAACTCTTTACTCACATCCATTTGTGTGATTATCCTTTTCTTACCAATTTGTAAAAGCTTGTACATTTTAGAAAGATTAGCCCTCAATTTGTGATATGGCTTATAAATATGTCCGCTTAGATTTTTCTTGCTTATTATTATTTTTTTTTTGAGAGACGGGGTCTTACTCTGTCACCCAGGCGGGAGTGAGGTGGCACAATCACAGCTTGCTGAAGCCTCGACCTCCCAGGCTCAAGCTATCTTCCCACCTCATCCAAGTAGCTGGGACCGTAGGTGTGTGCCACCATGCTTGGCTAAGTCTTAACTTTTTTGTAAAGACAGAGTCCTGCTATGTTGCCCAGGTTGGTCTCGACCTGCCGGCCTCAAGCAAACCTCCTGCCTACGTTTCCCAAAGTGCTGGGATTACAGGCATGAGACACTGCACCTGGCCTGCTTGTTATTTTTTTTTTCCATGCAGAAGTTTTAATTTTTATTAATCAAGTGGATCAGTCTTTTATGAGTTCTGGAATTTGAGTGTTGGCTAGAGATATTACCCATGGATATATAGGAATTCTGCTGCTTTCATCCAGGTATTTCATAGTTTCATAGTTTTTAGTTTTAAGTCTTTGATCCCTTTGACGTTTATCCTGAAATATAGTGTGGGGTATGGATCCGACTTTATTTTTCTCCAGATGGCCACCCAGTTGGTCCCATACAGTTTATTGATTAAACTATATTTTTCTCACTGATCTGAGATGTCACCTTTATCACATCCTCAGTTCCACACATAGCGGGGTCTATTTCTTACATTTTTATTCTGTTCTATTGGGATATTTCTCTGAGCATATGCCAGTGACACTCTGATTACTGGGAATAGATAGCATGCTCTTTTTCATAGCTCCTCTTTTTCTGTTTCTATGGATATGTTGGTTTACTTTTCTACACGAACTTTAAAATCAACTTGTCTACTCTTGTAACGTCACCCTCCACCCCTAATTGTGTTAGTATTTTATAGACCAGTGGTTAGGAATGTAGATGCTGGAATGAGACTGCCTGCATTCAAATCCCAATTGCCATTTTCTCTGTGAGTGGGCAAATTTCTTAGTTTTTAAAACTTCAATTTCCCCATTGAATATTCCACACAGTATCCTGTTATGAGAATATTCACAGAAGGAACCCAGCTAACCCTCATTTCGTTTACTAGGTACCAGGTACAATATACTTATTGCTGATGTTATGATTCTGATCATCATCATTGGAGTGTCTCCATGACAAAGTGTCCCCACACGAAAACAGCCGTATCTCAATGTCATGTGTCACTGGAGGGTGGAGAAGGAAGGGCTCTGGTAGCTTAGTTTGTCTATGACCATGAGACTGGGTGTGGAGGGCCTTCATGGCCTCTTGTCTCCAGTGGAAGAGCCTCATGTGTCCTGAGATTTAACACATGTTGGAACCTCTGGGGGCTGGGAGTGTTGGCTGGACACCCTGTGCCCTTCTAAATCTCAAAACACAACCCCCATCTTTCCTCCTCCCTCCACTTCTCAGCACCTCTCCTCATCATAGATACATTCTTTGATTAAAGAAGAGAGAGGCCTGAATAATAGCAAGAATGATGAAAATAACAACATTTGCTGGTATTTCATGCGTCTTATCCTCCCAGCAACTTGGAAGGAGTAGCTGGGAAGGAATCTAAATCATGGTGACCATTCAACAGTTGTCAGGATTTTTGATTTTGATGCATAGCTTCCAATAAACCCTATTGGGCTGGAGCTTGACATCTTCCTCTTGCTACGGAGATGTGCAGCAGTGAGAGTCAGTCTCAGGCCAGATTCCACCATGTGAAGAATGAGAGGTAAGTGTCCACCAAAGCCTCACCCCATGCCTGTGAGTGCAGAAAGTCCTCGGCATTTGGACAAGCACCATGTGTAAGAACACTCCAGGAGAAGGAAACAGTGTTTTGGTGGCAGAACCTGCCATCTTTCTAGGAACACCAGGTGGCAGACCCCTCCATCACGTACGGGTTGGGGCACACAGAACCAAAGGGAATTCTAGTCCCAGAGCTGTGCTGGGCCCCTGGGTTTCTGCATGCTTGAACCCTGTTTATGCAAAGGCCAGAATGCTGGACAGTCTTTCTAACCAGCCCCAATTCTTGACCCCTGTTATTTACCCAGGACAAGTGTGTCTGACCTACATGAGGTTAGGCTATAAACCCTATGGTGTGAATTTAGATAAAGGTAGTTGAAGTCCTTGATAGCACCTTCTAGAGCATGTGTTCCTGACAGGGAATCTCAACCGTTTACTCATTTTCTTAGGGTAAAGATGAAAGTAAATTTATACACACGTCTACATTTCCTTCACATTGTTTATACTTAAGTATTTTAAGGTAATTAATAGATGAGATAATAGGGACTTAATTCAACCTGACTTCACACATGGGGAAACTAAGGCTGAAGAAGGCAAGTAACTTGCCCAAGGTTACATGGCCACTAAGTGGGGTTCTGGAATTGAAACCTAGGTCTCTGCTGCCCAAAGCCTAGGTCTCTGCCCTGCCCAACTTTCTCTGAACAAGGCTTAGAGCTCTCAAAATCCTCAGTTCAAAGTCCCTCAGTAGTGTCTGATGTAAGGTCTCTGACTTAGGGTGGCTTCAGACCCTCAGCTATGGGTCCCTGAAAGCTGGTCCCTGAGGGACTGAAGGAACTCGGGGGGTAGGAGCCCAGGCCCACATCCAGGCCTGGAGTCAGGCCTTCTACGTCCAGCTGTGTGACCTGAGGCAGGTTACTGCATGTCCTGAGCCTTAGGTTTCCCTTCTGAAGAGTGAGAAGGATGATTCCTGCATGAAACAGTGTGCATCAAGATTTAATTCAGTGCCCAGTACATACTAGATGTCTGCAAACTGTTGCTGTCATTGTAAGGAATAGAACACTCAATGCAAACAGGTTTAATCACATGAAAGGTGGTGTTTGGTTCATGCAACTGGAAAGTCCAGAGGCGGGTGGGTTGCAGGATTGGTCCAGGGCCTCAGTGATGTCACCAGAGATCTAGTCCTTTTCACCCCTCTATTCTTGTCTACAATGACTGCCAGTAGCCCCATGCTTCATGGCTGAATTCATAGACTGAGCCACGGCCTGGTGATCCCTCTGAGTAGACGGGCTTCAGTCACAGGCTGTCTTTGGGACCGATGACTCTGGCCAGGAGATGGAATATGCTGGTTCGTGTGAGGCAGTGGGGCCTACCCCTCGAACTGGAGGCTTCATTTCCTCCAGAGAACACGAGTGTGTGTGTGTGTGTGTGTGTACATGGAAAGCAGGTGGCTGGTCCAGGGCCAACCAGGGTTCAGTTAGGAAGAGGAAAAGAGGGCTGGGAGATGAGTGGGCAGCTAACAAATACTGTGGTTTTTCTTATCCTTTCCCTTTTCTTCAGCAAGTACAAGGAAGATTCCTCCTATGACCCCATCTCTACCCTGTGGCTAACCAGTTTCTTCTCTGCTGCACAGACAGCCAGGGGTCACTGCTGTCTTTTGTTGCTCACATCCGTTTGACACCTGCAACCTGTCCAAATGGGGTCCCCCAGGATGTTTCTCCAAGAAGCCTTCTGGAGACCTCCAGCCCTCAGGGAGCTGTCCACCTCTGAGGACCTCGGCCTCACAAATGGTCTCTCAGCGACACTTTGTCCCACCATGCTTTCCTACCCTGTGGTGACTGACTCCCTCAGAATGAGTGGACGCTTAGGAGCCATCGTCCTGACCATGCCCCTGATCCCACTCTTGGCCCTTTGCCCAGCAGGTGTCACCCCAGCCTTGGGCTGAGCTGCTCCTCATACCAGCGCAGGGCTGGGCACCGGCCTTGCTGCCTAAATCCTCCTGCCCTTTTCCCCCTCGGGGCTTTCACACTTGCTGCGTCTTTTGCCTGCAAAGTTCTTCCCAGCACTGGAGCTTTCATTTCCATTAGAGCCCAGTGCACATGTCACTTCTTGGTGAGGCCCCTGACCACCCAAGAAAGCCACACTCCCTGTGATTCTTTATCTCAGCACTTATGTTTCCTTCAGGCACTTTCCACAATGTGCAGTTGCTTCATATGTAAGAACGCTGTCCCACAGAGGCTGGGGCATGGCTGCTGCAACTCTTTTATCCCCATAGCCCACAGCAGATGAGACAATCAACTTTCATTGAATGGACTACTGAGGGTAAGTGTTAGTAGGCCTGAAATCCAGCATGAACTCGGGGTATCCGTGTGACAACCGCTGCCCTTTATCCTCCCTCCTTGTCTCTGCCCATTAGTCTATTGTGGTTTCTGTTTGGGTCCCGGTGAACATCCCTGTTCCGGCTGGGCCTGGAGCCACCCTCTGAGTCACAGCCTGCCTGGTGGGGGTTCCAAGCTCCCTGCTAGCCGTACCAGTCTCCGCACTTCCCTAGGAAGTGGCCTCAGCTCCTGTATCTCGATCTTGTCAGCACCCTGAGAGCATCTGGTTCTATGGGTGTGCTGGGGACAGGGTGCTTCCCCCATTCATTGCTTACACAACAACCTCACCTGGGAGGCCAGCCTGGTGTCTTCATCTGTTTATCTCTCTTCGTCCTTGAAACTGCATGACCCCCAGCAGCGCTCCAAGTAGAGGTCTTACACTAGCCCAGCTAAACTCTCCCTTTCTTCCTCTCTTCTCTCCCCTTCAAGGGCCTCGTGCTTGCTTCGTCACCCCCACTTCCTCTCCATGCCAGAGCCAGGGATGGTAATGGCCATAGTCCTTGTGGCCCTTTCTGCGTGCCAGGCAGGCGTGCTGCAGGCTTACCCATGAATGAGCCCAGGTGAGTGCTCTTCTCCCCATCTCACAGATGAGGAAACTGAGGCATGCACAGGTTGGGAAGTGAGTTGTGTTTGTTGGCCAGGACTTATTTTGACTGGTAACTACATGGTTCAGGCTGGCTTATCAAAGGGTGCTCTTGTGAGTGGTCTGCCACCAGTGGGACCGACAGGGCTCCCTTGGTTCTGCCAATGAGAGCGGTGGATGCCTCCACGTGGAGTCCCGTCATTAGCCCAATATTCCTGACTTCTCTTCTCCCAAGGCGATAGGAAGGATAAATGATTTAGCTGATAGGTGAATTTGGGAGAACAAACAGGTCTCAGGAACCCTCACCTTTTTCTCCTGCCTGCAGGGTGCCTGGATTGCTACTGTTCTTGGTCACGGAGTGAGCCAGGAGAATGGCAGCCTCCCTCCCCTGCCTGAGCTGCCCTGGAGCAGGACTGGGAGGGTTCAGGGCTGTGGGAATGGAGTAGGTGATTTGTCTAGTTCTGGGGTTTGATATCAGAAGACCCAGGTGCTTGCAGCTCTCAGCCCTATTCCCCCAAATCAACTTTGTCAGCTGCTAAGGTGATATTTCAGTCTCTCCTCCTCTTCACTTCTCTCTCTCCACCATTGTTAGGACCTAGCAAGCAAGTGAAGGCCATTTATTGGTCCCCCTCCAGCCCTAACCCACAGCAATGAGGAGGTGCTGGGGGGTCAGTGGGGCTCCCTGACCCCTCCCAGGCCACCTCAGGGGATGCCTGGGTGCCATCTCAGAAGCCTCTCTGGGTGACAAACCATTTTGGATCATAGTCTGCTGCCAGGCGAGAGAAAGGAGGGGTTTGGGGTAGGGTTGCCACATAAAATACAGGGTGCCCACTTAAAATAGAATTTCAGATAAACAATGGGTAATGTTTTTAGTATAAGTATGCCTCAAGTATAGCATGAAACATAATATATTAGAAAAGTCACTCATTGTTTACCCGAAATTTGAATCTAACAGGGCACCCTGCATTTTCATTTGCTAAACCTAGTTTTGTTTGGCAACCCTAGTTTGGATAGGCTCTGGATGTTTCTCAAGCATGACATAGGACGAGAAGAGGAGATGGGGTCCCCATATCTCTCAGAAGGCCTGCAGCTATCAGTAAGAAAACTCTGAGTCAAGGGGCCTAGTCAGTGAGGAAATTTATCATTTCTCATATCAAGGAGTCCAGGGCCAGGCAGGTTCCCCCTTCAGGCTCAGGAGCTCCAGCTCCACCCAACCCGAGGCTCTCTCGGCTCTGTCCCTGGGATGCCCACCCCCAGGGTGCAGCGTTCAGATGTGGGTGTGATGGCCCAGCCCCCCCCGGCAAGGAGCCCTGTCCCTGTGGCCCTCTGGCAGGCTTGTGCAGAGAGGAGGGTGGGTGTCTGAGTGGTTTGGAGTCTCCAGCTCTGAAGGAGGGAGGAGGTTGAGATGATGCCCGCCCTTCCCCTCGGGGTGGGCTTTGGTGGAGGTGGTGAGCTCTAAGATCGCCCTCTACTCCATGGAAGCTTCCGGGACACACCAGCACCTGCAGGCACATGTCTTCCTTTCCCAGTCAGTGTTTCTCTGAGCATCCTGGGCTGCCAGTTTCAGATTCCAGGCACTGAAGGACCCTCCACAAATGTTTCCCTGCTTCAGGGGCTCACGCCTGCCACCCCACCAGTATTGACCCATGTTTCCCTGTCTCCGTCCTCTGCCGGGAGCACATCTCCTCCACCAGTCTGTAAGTTCCTCTCTGAGGAACGTGCCCTGTATCCCCATGGAAGCATTTCCAGGAGCCCTATGAATCCACATTGTTTCAGAATCTGTGAGAGGTCCCTGTGGCCCTGCCTAGCCACCCCAGGCAGGCAACAGGTGTTGGTGCTGCCATCTCCCTGCCTCCCTCTGCACCCCAAGTACTGGTTCTCCCCTGTTCCTGGCACATGACAGATGTCCAACTGTTAACTGAGTGTACCAAATAAGCCTAGTGGCAGGAGCCCAGGCTGGCTGGGGATTAGGGGGTCCAAGGCCATAGCCACCCTCAGGTCTGTCCCAATCCATAGGTCCGACAGTGGGTGGGGGTGGCCGTTTAATCGAGGGCAGGGAAGGGTCAGGCAGAGGCTAGACCGTTCAGGCTAAAGCTGCTTGAGCCTGACAGAGCTGGGAGCAAGGCTTGCTGGGGAGGTGCCTGGAAGGAGATGTGATTTGAAGCAGCTTCCTTGGCATAAACTGTGGGCTTCTGCAGCCCTGCAGAGCTCCTGTCTCCCTTGGTAGGGCTTAGAGGGTGAGGCCCCAGCTTCCTGGCCTTGGCTCCTGCTGACAAGGGTGAGGAGGTGAGGGAGGTGACTGCCTCTCCGATGCCAGTATCTGCAAAATGTGCAGGAGGCATGTTTTGTCGGAATGCTAGTATGCTGGTTAATTTTATGAGTCAACTTGGCTAGGCCATGGTGCCCAGACACCTGATTAAACACTATTATAGATATTTCTATGATGGTCTTTTTTAGATGACATTAACATTTAGATCAGTGGACTGAGTGGAACAGATTACCATCCATAACGTGGGTGGGCCCCCTCCAGTCAGTTGAAGGCCTTAATAGAAAAAAAAAACAAAAACAAAAAAACCGACCTCCCCCTTAATATAAAAAGACTGAAGAAGAAGGATTTCTGCCAGAAAACTGCATTTGGACTTGACCCGGGAGCCATGAGTATTCTCCAGCATGATTCAGTTTGATGAACACTTGCTTAGCGCCTGCTCTGTGGCAGGGTAGGGTATCTCTCACGGGGAGTAACGCCCACATTTCTGCAATACCAAATGCCAAGAATCAGGTTAAATATTTTATGTATCTTTATCTCTTTTAACCTCATGACATTCCTGTGAAGTAGGTGTTATTCTTATTCTTGTTCTCATTTTTCAGATGAAGAAACTGAGGTTCCAAGAGGTTCAATGACCTCGCAAGTACATGGGCAATGCGCAGCAATGTGGAGGCTCCAGAGAGGGCAGCAGAGTGGGGCTGCTCCTGGGGGCCACTGCTACTGCTGAAGCATGGGGAGGAGGCCTAAGGGCAACCCTGAGGCCATGGAGCAGATGGCCTGTGTAGCAGTGGTTGTCAGATGGGACAGTGTGACTGTCTGACTGTCCTGGCAACATGGTAGCCCTGGCCTGGGGGTCTGGGGAAAGGACAGGCCAGTGTTTTCATGGGGGGCAGGCTGTTTGGACACTGCCACTTCCCTGGCCAATATATGCATTGATTCTTTTTCCCATTTGGCTCCCACAGGGCCTGGTAATGGAATTGAAGATATCTGAATGAATTGTCTGATGCATCATGACTAAGCTTGGAATGTGCCAACTGTCCCCCAGGAGTGGCCCTTGGACAGCAGAGCTGGAGTGCTGGGACTCTGCGTGCAGGAAGGACGCCATGCTCTGGGAGAGCCATCGACAGAGCTGCTCTGGAGTTCTGGAAGTGCTTGGAGGGTGTGGGCAGTTGTCACACGAATCTGTTGCACCAGCCTGTTGGCTTTCTGGTGAAGGGGTGGTGGCACAGTCTGCTGCTGTGCCTCTGGTAGTAGGTGGACAATCAGTCCACACAACCTTCTTCATTTGTGGTCAGATTTGGATACTCCCAGGCTTTGTCACTGATCTCATTTTGACTTACCAGGAAGCTCCACATCTTGGTCTTTGTCAATTTCATGGAGAGGATAATTCTCATTTTATTTCCATGAACACTCCATTTCAAATATGTTCAGGAAGCCTTTCATCACCTCTTTTGGGCCTCCACTTCCCTCCCACCTCCTTCCTACATCTGTTCTTCTCCAGGGTGAATGGTTTCAATTTTATCAATGTTTCTTCCTGTGGCTGTATGTTTAGGTCCTTTCCTCATGCGGATCACCAAATATAAGATTTATTTATATCCTACCTAACATGTACTCTTTAAAAATCAGGTACCCATAATAATGATAGCAGCTAAGAGCTTTTATTGAGTTCAAAGTCTATCCACATACTTCATGTTCATTTTCTCTTTTAATCTCACAATCACCTTTTGAAGTCAATATTGTTACCTCCCACTTGATCAAAGAGGACACTGAGATTCTGGAAGGTTAAGTGCCTCCCTTGCTCAAAGTTACATAGCAAAAGAGGAGTAGAGCTGGGATGAGACCTAGGAATCTAGGCTCTGAGGTCCTCCACCCTGCTACTCAAAGTATGGCCCAGAGAACAGTGGCACAGGCAGCCACCAGGGCCTTGTGAGAACTGCTGACTCTCACGCCCACATCCAGACCTCCTGGATCAGGAGGCCAGTGGTTCACATACACGCTTAAGTTGGAGCAGCTCTGGGTCTAGTCTCCTTGGAAGGAAATGGGCCCCTTTACTTCCTTTGATGCTGCCTTGGAGCACGTTAGATTTTGGTGTCACAGCCCCTTCTCTATACTCTTAGTTGGTACTGTCCTCAGGCTCATCTTTGTCCTGCACAGGCCCTTCCTGCAGGAGGCACATTTTGTCAGAATGCTAGTATGCTGGTTAATTTTATGAGTCAACTTGGCTAGGCCATGGTACCCAGACACCTGATTAAACACTATTATAGATATTTCCATGATGGTATTTTTTAGATGAGATTAACATTTAAATCAGTGGACTGAGTGAAACAGATTACCATCCATAACGTGGGTGGGCCTCCTCCATTAGTTGAAGGCCTTAATAGAAAACAAAAACAAAAACAAAAAAACTGACCTCCCCCTTAATATAAAAAGACTGAAGAAGAAGGATTTCTGCCAGAAAACTGCATTTGGACTTGAACTACAACTCTTCTCTGGATCTCCAACCTGCCAGCCTACCACTTTCATGTAAGCCAATTATTTAAGATACATCTTTTTCCTCTCTCTCTCTCTCTCTCTCTCTCTCTCTCTCTGCTGTTTGTTCTTTTTCTCTGGAGAACCCTACCATACTTCTGGAGTCAGAATTTACAGTTTTAAGCAGACTTGGCTCTAGGGGTCAGAGGAGATGGATGAACACAGAGGGAAGCCTGGCTGATGTTTTACCAAGGGACAACCCTTATTTATCTGAAGAAATAGATAGTGTTCCTTATCCTATAACTCTCATTGGGCTCTTCTCTGCAGAGATGGACAGCAATGTACACCTGGGCTCTGACCTGGGTTATTCAGTCACATCTCACATGCTTACACCCATGCCTACTGCTCCCGTGGCTCTGGATCCTCCTGGTACCTATCTCCCTGGTGACCAAGCTTAAGGGTACCTCTTCCTCAACTCTGCTGCTTGGCCCAGGGCAACTCTGAGGTCGTAGCAATGTCCCAATCAGACTGGTTAGGAGGAGGAGGGGTTGGGGCAGAGTGAGGCAAGGGAGGCTTTCAGCCGTTCAAATATCATGTCAGGTTTTGCTGTTTTGTGGTTTTATTTCTAATTTTCTTACCCTACTTGAAAAAAACAGGGTAAAACACTGAGCTTCTTGGTTCTGTAAGTCAATAGTTTTCACCAAATTTGGAATTTTTTTTTTCTATTAATGTCTCCAAAGATTTTCCTGGAAAAATTCCCATTCTCTTTTCTTCTAGCATTCAAATTACAGACATACAAAGTCATTTGATATTTTCCTATTAGTTATCGAGGCTCTGGTTATTTTTCTTTAATCTCTTTCTGTTCTTCAGATGAATACTTTAAATGGATTTTTTTAGTTGATTAACTCTTTCTTCTGCTATCTCCTATTTGATGTTAAACCCATCTAGCAAAATTTTTGCATTAGCAATGGTACAGCTCTCATTTTTCTTCCTGTTGAGATAGCCATTTGTTTATGAATTAGGATAATATTTTCCTCTGATTCCTTTAAGTCTGATATCTTATTTGGGTACTCAGCATGTTAATGAGGTGTGGGTCAGAGCGCTAATGTCCACCAGCACTCTTCAGCCTCTCTATTATGCTTTCAAACTTGTAGTAGGCATTCTCTGATAAGACCTAGATAGTTACACCCTGAACATATACAGCCCCCTCCTCAGTTCAACTTCCAGGGTGCAAGACTTCTAGACTCTGTCCTCAGCTTTTCTCTCCATGATATCCTGCCCTGAAACCCTCAGTTGCTTCAGCTGCCTTGAAGTCTGTTTTCTGCCTCCTCAGTCCTTTGGTACTGCCATGCTTTGTTTGGACTCATATTCATTGCTCTGAAGTTGGGAAATTTCCCTAGAAAGAGAGTAGGGGTGATTATTGAGCATTGCTTTTGTTTACTCTAACATAACACCTAGTAAATTTGAATTTTTATCTTCTGTCACTTATGTTGGGCCATAGGATTGAGTAGTTTCTCTGGCCTTTCTGGTTCTCACACAATGGCATCTTGCTTTTCAGTTCATCTGATTGGTCACAAGACTCCCTTCCTCCTTTTTTTTTTTTTTTTGTTTTTTTTTTGTTTGTTTGTTTTTGAGACAGGATCTTGCTCTGCCACCCAGGCTGAAGTGCAGTGGTGCAGTCATGGTTCACTGTAACCTTGACTTTTCAGGCTCAAGTGATCCTCCCACCCACCTTAGCCTCCCGAGTAGCCGGAACTACAGGTGTGCACCACCATGCCTATCTAAATTTTTCATTTTTTGGAGAGATAGGGGTCTCGCTATATTGCTCAGGCTCATCTCAAACTTCTGGCCTCAAGCAATCCTCCCATCTTGACCTTCCAAACAAAACACTGGGATTTCAGACATGAGCCACTGTACCTGGCCACAAAGGCCTTTTTTTATTGTGATAGGTAGTATTTATTGCCACTATGTGGCACTCACTGTGTTAGGCATTGTGGTAAATGCTATGCATCTATTTCTCACTGTCATATCAGCCTCTTCAGGGAGGTGTTCATATCACCCCCATTTTACATGTAAGGGAGGGGAATGTAGAGGGGTGAAAGGGCTTTCAATGGTCACAAAATAAGGCAATGGCAGTTGAGACCTGAACTCAGGACTGTTCTGTCTCATGCCATGCTCTTAGCCATTGTTCTCTTATTTCTGTACACCTATACACAGCCAAACTTCTCTGCCATTTCAGCCACTTAAAGCACTAACATAGGTTTCTGGAAAACAGTTTCCTCTGCCACTGATTGTTTCTGCCAATGTACAACACAGTATACTCCTGCACTTGATATCCCTGCACTCACCAGACACTCTCTCCTTTCCGCACCATAGCAGCCTTTGATCAAATAGTTTCCAGCACCATCTATGGCTACAGCACTGTCCTAGGGACCCTGGGACTTAGAGACTCTTAGTTGTGTCATCCATTTTGCAGAGGAAGAGAACCTAGAAGGGACGGGCCTTGTGAAAGGCACGTAGCTGCCACAGTGCCAGCACTAGAACCCAGCTCTTCAGATTTCCAGGTCTATCTGTTAAGATTCTGGCAGGAAGCACATGGTACTTGGATTGTAATTGAGGAGAATTCAGTGAGGGGACTATTTACAAAGAGTGGGCAGAGTTAAAGGACACTAACAAGGGATGATGAAGGATGCCAGGATTAGTTACAGCAGAAAACCATTGCTACACCTGTGCCTGTAGAGTTTAGGGGCAGGAGAGCTAAAGCAAAGGAAAGGGCCACCTGACAGGAGCTATGCCCTTGGGTAGAGGAATGCAGCCCAAACAAGCTCTGGCCCATCGGGGAGGGAGTTGGGGAAATAAATACCCTGACGTGTCTCTCCTCCCACCTTCTGATCTCCTCTTAGCACCTCTCATTGGCTGAAACCCTCTGGAAGTCAGATACCAGGGAAACCTTGTTGATGCAGTTCATGGAGTTTGGCTTCCCTGGACACAGAGCAGAGCAGAGAAAAGTGGAGGGAGGCTCTGGAAGGGCAAATGGAGAGTAGCTAGCACCTCATACTGATGCCTCTACTTCCTCTGCTCCAGAAGACTGATCATCTCTACTCTTCAGAAGTTTGTAAGTCCAGACAGAGGGGCAGGTGTGAGCAGGTAACCAATAACCCAAGACTAAACCCCTGTGTGGAGCAGAAAGATTGGTCACCAGGCTGGATGTGCATCTGCCTCAGGGGATGGGGTTCTTAGGGAGCGGTTCTCCTAGGTAGGGCTTGCTGCTCTCTGCACCTATGGAGAGAATAGGATTCTTTCAATGCAATTAAATTGAACAAGCATTTATTGCATGTGCACTGTTTGTAAAGCGTTGGGTCTCTAAAGATGCAGAGGCGTAATCTTCCTCTGCCTTTGAGAGATTCAGAGAGGCATGTAGGTGACCAGCACAACGTTACTTTTCTGCATGAATGTTGGGGGGAGACAGATGTGCTTTTTGGTTCACCAGCTGACAGGGTGAGATTTCCGTGGTGGGTGTTGAGTGTGTGCCTGGACTTGGGTATGGCTTTGGGATAAAAATGTTTTAAATCTCTGCCTTCTGCCCTGCCATCTCCCTCAGTTTCTAATTATAAGAGGAGTGGCAAAGTGTGGCCATTACGTGAGCAATCAGGTCTGGGAACTTGCCAGGGTAGACATTTTCCTGTTTGTTCTGAACTAAGACATCTTTATCCAGTGGCTACTCTGAGAGTATGGGGAGTGGGCACGGGTGATGGTGGAGATTCCCAAGTGTCTCAGGGACAGGCATTATAGAATGGTGGCTCTTTCTCTATTGGGGGTGGAGGGTCTGTGAGTGAACACCAAAGACTGGAGCTTCCAGGCCTCTGTAGGTCAAATCCTACAACTGTGCCTTGATGGTATAATAGTGAAAATAGCTAAAATACATTGCCAGACACTATGTTAACTGCTCTGCAAGCATTCTCTCGATATGTTCTTACAACAATCTTAAGTAGTAGGTACTAGGAGCAAACCGAACCTATGAAGGATTAAGGGACTTGCCCAGGGTCACACAGTTGGTACATGGCAGAGCCCGAATTCCACTCAGCCCTGTGTACCTGTGGAATGTTACCTGGGTGTGGAGGTGC